TTTATACCCGCATATAGTTTATATATGTTATTGCGCATGATAACTCTTTTCAAAGTAGCATAAAGTGGATCTGGTTACTACTCTCTAGTATTAATAAAGCAATAAAGTATTCTTAATACCTATACTAGTGATATAGGACAGATATTTTAGAAAAGAAGAGCAAAGGCTGAATGTGTGCATATAGCGGATCGATGATATGTATCGCGTACGGGTTTCCTATAAGTTTGAACAATTTTATGATAGTCGTGAGGACATTAAACATTATAACCAAAAATTACTTGCAAGAAATCATAGGGAAAGCTAAAAAAAATTCTTTGAATCGGAAAAGGGTAGAAAATTCTAATAGATTAGACATAGTTAGAATATGTTAAAAATAATTTAAGCTAGTTTGTCAAGCATTTCACTATGATATGGTAATTCTAAGGGAACTGAAAACAAAACATTAAACATAAAATTAATGGTGGTTACTTTTTTTGAAATTAATCTAATACAATCCGAAAGTGTGTAATAGGGTCCTTTTGACCCTATGGCTTCTGTGTGGTTCTTAATAACTGAATTTTTTTTGACAATATAAATTGTATTATTGCTAAATCAAGTAGAACTTTATTTAATTATGCTTCTATATCTTTTATTTGCAAATGCATATTAGATTCAAATTAAATTCATATTAAATTCAATATATTTAACTATTATTTCGATTATTCAGAAATTAAGTCGCAGCAGTTCAGAAAACTCGCGTGGTGCACTCGTGACTATAATTTGTGAATATATCTGAAATATTTTGTAATAAAATATAATAATAAAAATTATAAGCATGAATCAGCATATGAGCAAAGACTCGATCAGCTATGCAAAGTGTTTATATGAATTCTCAAAATTAATGATTAATTAACTGAACATGATTTGACAAATTCAATACACCGAATAAAGCTGTCCGTACAACAAAACCAAAAATAACAATATCTACTTCTGCACTTCACAATGTATTCGACTTTAGACAATAATTCGCTTTATTATGAATTTTTTTTTGTAAACATTCAAATTTTATGCTTTATAGAAAATTTTTGTTAAGTACGAACTTACAAAATTTACTTTTCCTAAATGAGGTACAGTGGAGCCGAGCCGTATGTGCGTATGTCGACGGACCCCTACAATCGTTAGATACATTTATGAGACTTACTTTGGACTTTGAAGTTCAAATTGAGTGATGAAGACATGAAGGTGTTGGAATTAACACCATTTTACATTACAATTAAGTTTTGGTTTCAAATTTATTTCTTGTTTATTTCTTGTTTATTTCTTGTTTATATGCTGTTTATATCTTTATTGAGTTCTACTCACAAATGTGAATACATTAGATACTTTTTTTTATGGGCTTTGTACTATCAAAGAAAATAATTTTACAATTGAAGCGTGAAATCGTATGTTAATTTAACGCATTCATCTTTATTATAAATACTGAAAAAGTTTTTTTTTTTTAATTTTACATTTACTATAATTTTCTTTTTACATATCTTAAAAGAATTTTTAGAAGTATCTGTAATCGCGTTAACTGCAAGTTTGTTGCTTAAGTCTTTCTAGGACACAAGCATCTGCAAAAAGTATAGTACTGTCGAAAATATCTTACAGTGCTTTAATTGTCACACTGAATATTTAGAAGAATGAAATGTATTTTATAATTAATATTTTTAATGATTGACACAGATATGGATCAGATATTTTATCAATTGATATAGCGTTTGTATGAAAATGATTGTTTTAAGAAATAATATATCCATATTAATTTGCATAGCCATTATTATTAAAAATAAGTTTGAATAACTACAAACAATTAGAATAGAACTATCAAACAAATTTCTGAATTTCCAGTAAAGCATGGCACTACGATCGTATTAGATCTCTTCTGCTAACTACTGCCCTTAATTGAACAGTAGAAATTAAGTGTTATTATTCTAGAATGCAATCGAATTGGTCTCGTTGAAGATTCTTAAATATTACATACTGTTTTGCTTCAGACCTATTTTAAAGTTGGTTACTTACAAAGAATGTAACTAGAAGTTTTCGATGTGGACTTGCATTTAACAACCGGGTGATGTGCCCCAAAGAACAGCAGAGATGTTATATAGGCCCCGCTTCCTCTTGAAAGGGAACTTATATATCTTATATGTCTAAACATATAGCTTTAATCGGTACCTGTGGACAATTCCCTACGTTCGTAATATCACAAACCGTCGTGTGAAGCCCTAACGGCAAGTAATTATGTTAAAAAACCATAGACTCTGTTTTATACAATTAATTAATATAATAATTTCATTATTATATTACTCAATAGAGACACTATAGAGTTTAATATAGATTTTTATATATTGAAACGATTTAGATATATTATTATACATAATAAAGGCTTCAACAGTTTATTATGTATGAACCGCAATCAGTTTGGACTCCTCTTAAAATAATTTATAAAATGCAATTATTAAAATTTTCATAAAATTTTTATTTTTTTAAATATTTTTTTTCATTTCATTTATTTTTGTGATTGCCATTTAAATTAAATACAATATTTATATAATTTCTCATATGTTTTATTTTATTTATTTTATAATATTTATTTATACTCAACTATCAATATGGCCAATTACATTTATACTTGATTGATATATATCTATATTTTTATATAAATATTTTTTTTTTGAAATTTTACATTGAAGTAATTTTATTTAAACATACAATTACATATATATACATATATATTCTTGTAATTCCTCACAACGAAGGGGAGAGAGAGATTAATATAATATTGATTATGAATTGTATGTTTAATATTTCTGATATTCAAAATATTTATATAAAAATATAGATATATATCAATCAAGTATAAATGTAATTGGCCATATTGATAGTTGAGTATAAATAAATATTATAAAATAAATAAAATAAAACATATGAGAAATTATATAAATATTGTATTTAATTTAAATGGCAATCACAAAAATAAATGAAATGAAAAAAAATATTTAAAAAAATAAAAATTTTATGAAAATTTTAATAATTGCATTTTATTTTAAGAGGAGTCCAAACTGATTGCGGTTCATACATAATAAACTGTTGAACC